CCTGCTAGGATTAGAAACAAAGGCCAGGATTTCCAGTTTCAGCCACTTATATGACCATTGTACTAGTGATCTTGGCCATTGTAGCAAGGAAAGAAGAGAAATAGAAGGCATACATATGGAAAGTAAGAAATGAAACTCTTTATTTGTTGACCACATGATCTTGTACATACAAAATTATAAAGAGTCTGCCACAAAGGGGCCAGCAGGTGGCATGGTGATTAAGGGCACTGGACAACCATGTGGTTGACCGCAGTTCAAATCTTAGACCTGGTAGCTTGCTTTCTTGCTTTTCCCCTGCCCCCTTCCCCTCTCTCTCTTTCTCTGTCCCTTTCTGGTCAAAGTAAAATAAAAATTGAGTAAAGTTAAATAAAATGATTCTTTTCTTTTTATAATTATTACTATCGTATTGAACTTAATTTATTTGTTTTAATTTGACCAGAGAGAGAAGGGGGGGAGTGAGAAAGCAAGCCTCCACGTCTGAGACTCAAACTATGATCGGCCACGTGGGAGTCCAGCACCCTTAACCACCAAACCACCTGCCAACTCCAAATAAAATAATTCTTTAAAAAAAAAAAAGAAATAGAAAGAGAATCTACGGGGACCGGCATTTGACATAATGGCTGTGTCGCTGGACTCCTATGTAGTCGATCATGATTTGAGTCCCCAGACCCTGTGACTTAAACTCATGTCAGATGTGTGTGCCCAAGATCCCAAGAGGAGAAGAGATTGCAGTGTGGCCATCTCCCCCTGGGGAGAGTGATTTCTCACTTTCTGTCTCTCTGTTTCTCTCTGTCTTTCTGGTGAGTGTACATGCCCTATAGCAAAAACCTCCTACCCCCCCCAAAAAAAAAAAATCTACAGCAGAAACTCCTGAAACTATGACTGAATTTAATAGAATCATAGTATACAGGGTCATTGTAAAGAAAGTATAAACTAGCTGTGAATAATTGCAAATTAAAAATAACCACTTACACTAGCATCAGAAAAGCCTGAAATAGTTAAGGATAAGTATAACGAAATGTGCACAAAATTAAACACATAGTAATTATTTTCAATTAGAAGTGTTTTATATATATTGGTAATGATAAGTAAGTTTTTTGTTTGTTTGTTTGTTTGTTTTTAGTAGAGGTTTTTGCTATAGGGCCCATGCACTCACCAGAAAGAGAGAGACAGAAAGCAAGAAATCACCCCGTAGGAGGGATGGCCACACCACAATCCCTTTTCCTTTTTTTTTTTTTGGAGAGATTTTCACTGTAGGGCGCGTGCGCTCGCCAGACAGACAGAGAGAGACATAGAGACAGAAAGCGAGAAATCACCCCCCAGGGGGGGTGGTCACGCCGCAATCCCTTTTCCTCCATTCTCCTCTTGGGATCTTAGGCACACACGCACGTACGCCTGGCATCAGTTTAAGCCACTGGGTCCAGTACTTGAACCATGGTCGGCTACATGGGAGTCCAGTGACATATCATTACGCCATCTGCTGGTCTCAGTAAGTTTTTATTAAAACATTTCTAGAAGATAGCTTCTTTTTTACATATTAGTGGTTGAACCTTTTTTTTTCTTTTTTTTACTGTAATTATGGTCACATGTTAAGTTTGTGTTCTTTTTCATATAGAGAGATTTTTGCTATAGGGCCTGTGCACTCACTGGAGAGACAGAAAACAGGAAATCACCCCCCAGAGGGGATGGCCATGCTGCAATCCCTTCTCCTCTTGGGATTTTGGTCATGCACACACACTCGCCCAGAGTGAGTTTCAAGCCACTGCGTCTAGGACTCTTAACTGCGGTCAATAATGTGGAATTGTTTTATTTAACTTTATTAATTTTTTAATATTTGACCGGAGACAGACTAAGAATGAGAGAGAGAAAGCAAGAAAGCAAGCAGCCATGTCCAGGATTCGAACCACCGTCAGCCATGTGGGAATCCAGTGCCCTTAACCACCATGCCACCTGCCAGCACCCGTCATTGAATTTCTTCCCATAGATGGACTTGCCACCAGTACTGTAATGGTGTGTGCAGTCTCCACCCTTGTACACAAACTCTGGAGTAATTCTGCGAAAGCAGGAACCTTTACAAACCAGCAGATAGTATAAATGGTTATGCTGCCGGACTCCCACATGGCCAACCGTGATTTGAGTCCCGGACCTGGTGGCTTACTTTCTCACTCTCTCTCTCTCATTCTGTACCTCTCTGATCAAATTAAAATAAATAAATAAAGGTAAATAAAATAATTCTTAAAAACAAAAATCAAACAAAACAAAAAAAAACTCACGCCAGGCGCTTGTGCTTGTATGCCCAAAATCCCAAGAGGAGAAATGGAAGAGAAGTGATTGCAGCATGGCCTTCTCTCCAGCGCTCAAAGCATGAAAGTTTTCTCAAAGGAAGGCTATCAACAGCAACATCATGGGGTTGACCGTGGCTGGTGGCAGGCAACTTGAGCAGTCTGCAAAGCCCAGAATAGACATTTTCAACAAACTTTCTAAATACTTCCATTTATGCTTTTGTAGATTTTCTATTCCTGAACAGTTTCTATCTTACAAAGCATTTCCTTGATCCCTAAACATCTGAGCTCTGCAGTCTAGTAGAACTGAGTACTTCTGTATTAAGTACCCTTTAATATTGTACATATAAATGCCTATCCTAGCCCCCTGAAACTTTTTTTTTTTTTTTTGGTACTTAAATTTTCTTATTTATGTATGTTGCCTGCTGTCAGATTGGGGAGGGGCTTTGTCTTATGACTTTCTATACCTAATTACTAGCATAATAAATATTTAGTAGATGTGGTGGTAGAGATCTATTTTAATAATTACAACATCAGTCTTCTCTATAGAAAAAAGACCCAATTTATACTTAAATATGTGTATTTCTAAGACCACTGTCTTTTGGTTACTTGTTCAGTTCGTTAGTCAGAAAGGTGCCAGACTGCCCTGCTAAGTGCAGATGTGAAATGACAAAAGAGTCATGGGCTCGTGTTAACTGACTTTCTCTTCCTTTGACAGGTGTGGGATTACGAGACTGGAGATTTTGAACGAACGCTTAAGGGACACACAGACTCTGTACAGGACATTTCATTCGACCATAGTGGCAAGCTTCTGGCTTCCTGTTCTGCAGATATGACCATTAAACTATGGGATTTTCAGGGCTTTGAATGCATCAGAACCATGCACGGTAAGGGATAGAGGGTAGTACTTTAATAGTGGTTTCTAGCATGACACTTCAGAGCGAAGAATACTCTCTTCTAACAGTGTTCACATTCCCTACATCAGCTTATAATTAATCATCTGTATTGTGGAGGAACATATGATGTAAACAGTCCCTGAACAAGCCACAGTTGAGAGTTATTTCTGTTAAAAGATTTTAAATATCTCTTCATGGTTTACTTAAAATGTTTTTTTTTTTCTTTTTTTTGAAGAGGTTTTTGCTATAGGGCACGTGTGCTCACCAGACAGAGAGAGACAGAAAGTGAGAAATCACCCCCCAGGGGCCATGGCCACGCCACAATCCCTTCTCCATTCTCTTCTCGGGATCTTGGGCACACATGCACACACGCCCGGCGTGAGTTTTAAGCCACCGGATCCCAGACTTGAACCGCGGTCAACTACGTGGGAGTCCAGCAACATAGCCATTACGCTAACTGCTGGTCCCTTAAAATATTTATTTTAACCAGTGTTTTTGGATAAGAAAAATTGTCAGATCATTAATATTATATCCTTCAGAAAATACTAAGTAATTGAAGGGGTTTTTTAATATTATATCCTTGAGAAAATACTAAGTAATTGAAGGGGTTTTTTTGCCCCCATTTTTCTTAATTGGGAAGCCAAAGTCCAGAAAGAGTATGTTGAAAGCTGTAAGCTACATTCTCTTGCTTACTTACAAATGTTCCACATTTATTACATTCATTGTTGGCTTGTTTTCTGGGTCTTGTTGTAGAGACTATTTTCTGAGGCAATGTGGTTTTTATGGGAAAAGCATAGTCTTTGGAATCAGATATTTGGTTTAAATTCCTACTTGTTTACCTATGGCATTAGGCCATTTTAACCTCTTTTATCTGCAAAATGGATGAAAGAAATTAAATATCTAAACCATAGAGTTGTCATGAGCATAAATGAGATCATTTTTCATATAGGAGGTGTTCACTAAATAAGAATTTTTGTTGTTTCTAAACATGAATTTTTTTAATGTGTAATTATTTTATTTAGCTTTATTTATTTATTTGATTTGACCAGAGAGGGACAGAGTGAGAGAGCACACGTGAAAGAGAGAGGAAAGTGAGAAAGCAAGCCACCAAGTCCGGGACTCAAACCGTGGTTGGCCATGTGGGAAGGAGTCCATTGCCTCTAACCACCACGCCACCTGCCAGCCCCTAAACATGGAATTTGAATGTTTGGATTTTATATAAGAAACACATACTCTGTTAGTAATAAACTGTTGTTAAAATTTAGCTGGCCTTGTAGCCTAATAATTAAAGGGAGCTGGATCCCACATGACTGACTGTGGTTTGAGTCCCAACTCCAGCAGCTTGAAAAATATGCTTGGGGGGCCAGAAGGTGGTGTGGTTGTTGGTGCTGAACTCTCATATGGCCTACTGTGATTTCAGTCCTGGGCCCGTGGAGTTGAAACCTATGCCAGCGTTGTGTGTGAGGAGTATGCCCAAAGTCCCGAGAAGAGAATGGCGAAGGGACATCCCCCCTGAGGGATCATTTCTCTCTCTCTCTCTATGTCTCTCTGGCAAGTTCATACACCCTGTAGCAAAAAAAAAAAAAAAAAAAAAATATCTTTTAAAAAGGAAAGAAAGAAAGGAAAAGACGCTGGACACATGTGCATGCATGCATGCCCCAAGAAGGGATTGAATTGTGACCACACTCCATTAGAGGTTACTTTCTCCCAGTGTCTGTCTGGCAATTACATGCACCCTCTGACAGTTAAAAAAAATATTTACCGGGAACAGCTATGTGGCTACGTCACTGGACTCCCACGTAGTCAACCATGGTTCGAGTCCCAGACCTGGTGGCTTAAACACACTGGGCGCTTGTGCGTGCGTGCCCAAGATCCTGAGAGGAGAGCGGAGGAGAAGGGATTGCGGCGTGGTCATCCCCCCTAGGCGTGATTTCTCACTTTCTGTCTCTGTCTGTCTTTCTGGTGAGCACACAACGCCCTATAGCAAAAACCTCTCCAAAAAAAAAACCTCACACAAGTGAGCTACGTGATTATATAAAGGGCATATTTTGCAGCTTGTGTTTTTCCCAAAATTTAAATGTATTAGGAAACTTTACCAATTAAAGTATTTCCTAGCTGTTGTATATACCTTGAAATCATTTATTGATGAGGACTTCCTGAGGCTTTTCCTACAAAGGATTGCTAATTAAAAGTGTAAATAATGTATATGGAATGATACATATTTTTTTTACCCACATGAACATTAAGAACAAAGAAATAATTCTAGACCACTGTTTTATTTATTATTTATTTTTGCCATAGGGCATGTATACTCGCTGGAGAGAAACAGAAAGACAGTGAGAGGGAGAGTAAGAAATCACCCCCTGAGGGGATGGCCATGCTGCTGTCCCTTCTCCTGGAATTTTAGGCATGAGCGCACATGTACTTAGTATAATTTGCAAGTCACTGAGTCCTGTACTCAGACTGCAATTGGCCCTGTGGGAGTCTAGCACCATAACCACTACACCACCTGCTGGCTCCTTGACTTCTCTTTTAAATAGAGAAGCAGATCCAATTTCCTTAACCATTCTGTTTAGTTGTATAAATCTTTTTTCTTTCTTATATCTTAGAATATCAACCATAGGGGGGCCAGCAGGTGGCATTGTGGTTAAGGTTACTGGATTCCCACATGGCCTACTGCAGTTCGAGTCCCAGACCTGGTGGCTTCCTTTCTCGCTTTCCCTTTCACACTCTGTCTGTCTCTGGTCAAAATTAAAAATAATAATAACAAATGGAATTAAATAAATAGTTCTTTAAAAAAAAAAAAAGGAATATGGGACGAGCAGTTAGCGTAATGGCTATGTCACTGAACTCTCATGTAGTCGACCGTGGTTTGAGTCCCGGATCCGGTGGCTTAAACTCATGCCCTGTTCATGTATGTGTGTGCCCAAGATTCTAAGAGGCGAATGGAGGAGAAGGGATTGTGGCATGGCTATCCCCCCTGGGGGGTGATTCCTCGCTTTCTATCTCTGTCTCTTTGGTGAGCACATGCACCCTATATCAAAAACTTCTCCAAAATTAATAATAATAAGGAATATCAACTATAGGAAACTGTGTTTTTTTAATATTAACATTCAGACTTAGTACAGTGTTTGAATATATTCAAATGATGATAATGCTAATGTCTTATTATTTTTAAATAATGTTGTACAGGTTGAAGTTTAATCATAAAGGGGCAGAGAGTTGGCGTTTTGGCTAAAGGCTTTGGATTCCCACGTGACCGACCATAATTTGAGTCCCAGATCTGGTGGCCTGCCTTCTCCCTTTCCCTTTCTTTCTCTCTCTGTCTCTCCATGGGCAGATTAAAAAATAATAACAAATGGAATTAAATCTTATTTAAAAACTTAATCGTAGGGACCAGCAATTAGTGTAATGACTATGTCGCTGGACTCCCATGTAGTCGGCCATGGTTCGAGTCCCTGACCAGGTGGCTTAAACTCAACACCAGGCGCATGTGCGTATGTGCGTGCCCAAGATCCCAAGAGGAGAATGGAGGAGAAAGGATTGTGGCGTGGCTATCCCCCTGGGCGGTGGTTTCTCGCTTTCTGTCTCTCTGTCTCTATCTGGCAAGCACTCGCACCCTATAGCGAAGACCTTTCAAAAAAAAAAAAAATCAATCATAAATAGAGCTGTTTTCTTGGGGAGTGTTTCAAGTTACTTATTTTTTAACTTTTTGTATAAGTCCAGGTTTCTTACCAAATTTATGTAACACTCAGTATATTTAGAACTTGCCATAATGTTTGAAATCCTGTGGTAAAATCCCATGATAAATTGAGGTTTTATTGCTCTTGGTGGTGTTTCACTTAATATATTACTGTGTTCTGTATTTTAGGCCACGACCACAATGTTTCCTCAGTAGCCATCATGCCCAATGGAGATCACATAGTGTCTGCCTCAAGGGATAAAACTATAAAAATGTGGGAAGTGCAAACTGGGTAAGTAGAGTTAGCTGAAAAAGCATTAGCTGAGAGGCCAGCAGGTGGTGTGGTGGTTACGGCACTGGACTCTCACATGGCCCACTAAGATTCATGTCCTGGACCTGGTGACATGAAATTCATGCTGGGTGTGTGGGTGTGTGCATGTGCCCAAAATCCCAAGAGGAGAATGAAGGAGAAGGGATTGTGGCCATCCTCCCCTAGGGGATGATCTGTCATTTTCCTTATCTCTGTTTCCATCTCTCTCTGGCGAGCATACACACCCTATAGCAAAAACCTGAAAAAAGAAAAGGCATCACCTAATGAGAGATTAAAAAGAAAAATATTGTGTTGTGAGTGTTACAGTAATTTTGGCTTTAACTTCGAATGCCAACTATAACAGTTGCATGATAATACTTTAAAACCGAGTTTGATCTCTAAGTGAGAGAATCTCTCTGTTCTAAAGAACTATTTCTAGGGACCAGCAGATGGCATAATGGCTACGTCGCTGGACTCTCATGTAGTTGGACCGTGGTTTGAGCCCTGGACCCGGTGTCTTAAACTCACACTGGGCACGTGTGTGTGTGTGCCCAAGATCCTGAGAGGAGAATGGAGGAGAAGGGATTGTGGTGTGGCCATCCCCACTAGGGGGTGATTTTTTGCTTTCTCTCTCTGTCTGGCGAGTGCACATGCCCTATAGCAACAACTCCTCCCCCCCGCCCAAAATAAAAAAGAAAATTCTATATGACTTGTTCTCTCTATGGTCTTACGTTAGGTGATCTCTCTGTAGGTTTAAATTAAAATTTAAATAATGTTGCTGGTGGTATGCTCCATTAGGATGAATTTGGTTGTGCTAAGAATTATACTTAGTTGTTATAATAAAACCTTAACCTACCATTTTACCCAGGTTTAGTAGGGCATATTTTTTCACCAACATGGCCAGAAATATTTTTGCTAAGTTTATTATATATATTAGTTTTCAATTATTTTATCACTATATATCTTTTACTTTCTAGACTTTGTTGAATTGGGTAGGTCCTTGATGATACTCACTTATTTTGACCAATACTTGACTTTCTGACCTGTCCCTGTCTTACTAACCAGTATTATGCATTTACTTGTTGACTTGGACTCAATTTCTCTAACTTGGTGCATTCTCTTCATCCCAGTGCATAGTTATTTTGTGTTAACTTCTGGGAAGTGTCCTCCTAATGATTGTCATTCTCAACATAATTCATATTGACAGCTACTGTGTGAAGACATTCACGGGACATAGAGAATGGGTACGTATGGTACGGCCAAATCAGGATGGCACTCTGATAGCCAGCTGTTCCAATGACCAGACTGTGCGTGTATGGGTCGTAGCAACAAAGGAATGCAAGGCCGAGCTTCGAGAACATGAGCATGTGGTAGAATGCATTTCCTGGGCTCCAGAAAGCTCATATTCTTCCATCTCTGAAGCAACAGGATCTGAGGTACTGTACCATTTTATTATTTCATTGCTGGTATCTTAGAATCTTAAATAATTTTTCTGATTCTCAATTTCAGGGCTGTTAATGCATTTTAAAATCTGTATTTCAGAATTCTGAAGTTCTTCTTACTCTTCCCAACATGTAAACATGTTTATGCTTTTAAACCAGGAGTCTTATTGTTGTCACCTGACCTTTGACTTGATACATGATGAGGATGAGGGACTCTCCTGAAAAGTGAAAGTGATCATTTAAGTTGATAAGAACTATCATTGTTATAAGAGTGTATCAGAGGGCCAACAGGTGGCATGGAAGTTAAGGTGCTGGATTCCCACATGGTCACCCACAGTTCAAGTCCTAGGCCTGGCAGCTTGAAAATCATGCTGGGAGTGGGACCAGTAGATGGCATAATGGTTATGTCACTGGACTCCCACGTAGTTGACCACAGTTTGAGTCCCAGATCTAGAGGCTTAAAACTCCCACCGCAGTCCTTTCTCCTCCATTCTCCTCTCGGGATCTTAGGCACGCACACACACGCGCCCGGTGTGAGTTTAAGCCACCGGGTCCAGGACTTGAACCACAGTTGACTACATGGGAGTTCAGTGACACAGCCATTATGCTAACTGCTGGTCCCTTGATAACTCACTGTTTACATTTTCTCTAGTTATGCATGATTTCTTCTTTTGTTTAATTCTTTGATTAGCTGAATTATAAATTCACGTAATTAAAAAAAAATTGTTATAGGGTGCAAATGCTGGCTGAAGAAAGAGAGGGGGTGAGAAAGCACCTCCCCAGGGGGATGATCCTGCTGCAGTCCCTCCTCCTGCACTCTCCTCTCAGGATTTTGGGCCACACACATGTGCCTGGCATGTTTTCCAAGCCATTAGGTCCACGACTCAAAACTTGGAGTTGATCGTGTGGGAACCAGCTGCCTCAACCATCATACCACCTAGGTAGCCCTTAAGTAATTTTTATCAGATAGTACATTTGTTTTGTTCTGTTGGGTTTTTTTGTTTGTTGGGTTTTTGTTTTTGTTTTTTGAGAGGTTTTTGCTATAGGGCATGTGCGCTCCTCAGAAAGACAGAGACAGAGCAAGAAATCACTCCCCCAGGGGGCATGGCCACTCCACAATCCCCTCTCCTCCATTCTCCTCTCGGGATCTTGAGCAGGCACGCACACGTGCCCAGCATGAGTTTAAGCCACCGGGTCCAGGGCACGAACTGCGGTTGACTACATGGGAGTCCAGCGACATAACCATTACGCCATCTGTTGATCCCCAGATAGTACATTTTTTAAAGATTACTTTCTGTTACCATTTCAGTTGGAAGATAACTCAACTAGATATAGAATTCTTGGGTCATACCTTTCAGTCAAGAATCAGTAAGTTATTCTTGAGGTCACACATTGTTTAAATAAATGTGCTAGGTACTAGTGTTGATGCTCAGAAAATAACAACCCAAACGTGGAATTTTTTTGCCATGCTAATGTTCAATAAAAATGACACGAATTACTGTTTGAAATAAGTTTCTCTTCGAAGTTGCAACAGACCAGACCATCATGGTGCTACACATGCTAAAATGTCACATCACCAAAGTCCAACTTTAAGGAAGCTGATAGATCCCAAAACAGGACAGTTTGTGTTGAAAACAGAAGATTCAGTCTACCTGAGTCAGTGCCATAAGGAAACGAAACTTATGACTTTCACAGAAATACGAACCTGAAGGGACCAGGAGATGGTGTAATGGTTACATCACTGGACTCCCATGTAGTCAGCCACAGTTTGAGTCCCGGACCCAGAGGCTTAAAACTCACACCAGGTATACATGTGTGCATGCCCAAAATCCCAAGGGAAAGGGATTATGGTGTGGCCATCTCCCTTAGGGGCGATTTCCCACTTTCTGTCTCTGTCTCTCCAGCAAGTGCACATGCCTATAGCAAAAATCTCTCAAAAAAAAGAAAAAAGGAATGTGAACCTGAAATAGCTTGAGATATTAACTAGACTCAGTGGATTTCCTTATTGACCAAGACCATTCCTCCTTTACCTCCCAGTATTTACATCTCTTGGTTATAACCTTCAAAATGTTTCAGCTATAGGCCATCCTGGTAACTTGTAAAAAATTACCCAGATAAATAAAATTCTAGTCTCCCAGACATGTGCTTAGCCCTATTTTTAAGATACTAACCATCATAAAGACTGAAATCAAGGGAACCAGCAGTTAGCATAATGAGTATGTCACTGGACTCCCACGTAGTCGACCGTGGTTCGTGTCCCAGACCCTGTGGCTTAGAACTCACGCCAGGCGCATGTGCATGCATGCCCAAGATCCCGAGAGGAGAACGGAGAAGGGATTGTGGCGTGACCATCCCCCCTGGGGGGTGATTTCTCGCTTCTCTATGTCTCTGTCTGTCTGATGAGCACATGCGCCATATAGTGAAAACCTCTCAAAAAAAAAAAAAAAAGACTGAAATCAAAAAGAGTACAAATTAAAAGTCATGAAGAAATGTAATAAAACTCGCCTCGGGGGCAAGCAGGTGGTATAATGGTTCAGGCACTGGACTCCCACGCGGCCAACCACGATTTGAGCTTTGGATTGGGGGACCAGCAGTTAACGTAATGGCGAGCGCATGTGCCCTATAGCAAAAACCTCTGTTAAAAAAAAAAAAAAAAAACAACGAGATATCAACATTAAATCCAATGAAACAAAAAGTTTTAAGCACAGAACAAACTACAGTTAAGATTTTTTTAATTCAATATAAAAATAATAGTAAAACAAAATCTTAGAACATGACTAGAAATTGAGAGTTGTTTTTTTGTTTTTTGTTTGTTTGTTTGTTTGTTTTTGGAGAGATTTTTGCTATAGGGCGCGTGCACTCGCCAGACAGAGAGAGAGAGAGACATAGAGACAGAAAGCGAGAAATCACCCCCCAGGGAGGATGGTCACACCGCCATCCCTTCTCCTCCATTCTCCTCTCGGGATCTTGGGCACGCACGCACACGCGCCCGGCGTGAGTTCTAAGCCACCGGGTCCGGGACATGAACCACGGTCGACTACGTGCGAGTCCAGTGACATAGCCATTATGCTAACTGCTGGTTCCCTAGACTGTTTGGTTTTATAAAATTTATTTTAAAATGTAAAAGGAGGGGCCAGCAGATGGTGTAATGGTTACATCACTGTACTCCTGTGTAGTCAACCATGGTTTGAGTTGTGGACCCGGTGGCTTAAAACTCACACCAGGTGCTTATATGTGCATGCTTAAAATCCTGAGAGAAGAATGGTGGAGAAGGGATTGGTGCATGATCATCCCCCCTGGGGAGTGATTTCTCACTTTCTGTCTCTCCGGTGAGTGTACACGTCATATAGCAAAAATGCTCTCTCTAAAAAAAATTTTTTTTTTAATGTGTAAGGGAGGCTAGCCAGTGTCATGGTGGGTAAGGCTACTGGATCCTACGTATCCAATCACACAATTTATGAGTCCTGGACTCAGACTTGAGAAGCACATCAGATGTATTTTTCTTCTCCCCTCCACTCCCACTTCTAGTGAGCACATGCACCCCATGGGGAAAAAAATTTTTAATAGGTTTTTGCCATAGGGCATGTGCACTCACCAGAGAGACAGAGACAGAAGGAAACTAAGAAATCACTCCCCAGAGGGAGAGGGCCACTGTATTACCGTCTCCTGTTCCCTCTTGGGATTTTGGGCATGCACACACATGTGCCAATTATGATTTTCAAGCCATTGGGTTCAGGACTTGAACTGTGGTTAACTTTGTAGGAATCTAGCACCTTAACCACCTTACTACACCATCTGCTAGCCTCGGCAAAACAAACAAACAAACAAAATATGAGAGGTTTTTGCTGTAGGGTGCTTGTGCTCGCCAGAAAAACAGAGAGACAGAAAGTGAGAAATCACCCCCCAAGGAAGATGACCATGCCGCAGTTCCTTCTCCATTCTCCTCTCAGGATCTTGGGCATGCACGCATACGCACCCGGCATGAATTTAAGCCACCGGGTTTGGGACTCGAACTGTATTTGACTACATGGGAGTCCAGCAATGTAGCCATTAATGTCAACTGCTTGTCCCAAAATTTTTTTACTTTTTTTTTTTTTTTTTTGGAGAGGTTTTCGCTATAGGGCGCATGCGCATGCGCTCGCCAAAATTTTTAAAATGAGGGACCAGCAGTTAGCGTGATGGCTGTCGCTGGACTCCCACGTAGTCGACCGTGGTTCGCGTCCCGGACCCGGTGGCTTAAAACTCATGCCGGGCGCGTGTGCGTGCGTGCCCAAGATCCCGAGAGGAGAATGGAGGAGAAGGGATTGCGGCGTGGCCATCCCCCCTGGGGGGTGATTTCTTGCTTTCTGTCTCTCTCTCTCTGTCTGGCGAGCGCACACGCCCTATAGCAAAAACAAACAAAACCAAAAAAACCTCTCCAAAATTTTTAAAATGAAAAACTTTATTTATGATTAGTTTTAAAAATCATGGAATGTTATTCCTATAAATAAATTGTATGGGCCAACATTGACCATATTTCTTTTTCCTTAAATTGCCATAAGGCACATGGGAGGGAGGGAGAGAGAAAGTACACTGCCCACTCCCGTGGGGCATGATCACTCTGCAGTCTTTTTCTTTCCTGTTCCTTTGTCCTACTGTGGCCACCCATATACATGTACCTGGCCTGTTTTTGTTTTGTTTTGTTTTGCCAGGCCAGGATTTGAACTGCAGTTGGCCACATGGAATCCAGCTCTCTTAACCATTAGGCTATGAGGCTGGCTGAACCACATCTCTTTTTATAAAAAGGCATTTCCGTCATGGATTTTTAAACTACACTTTAATGAACAAAGGAAAGAAATCCCTGTGTTCCTCTTATGCATTCCAGTTCCTTTTCTAAATGAGGCTTCTATTAGGATCTCTGTTTTGGCTAGCCCATCACATTTCATTCTTTTTAATGGCCTTTAGTGGTCATTACTCACTGTATTACCATAAGTTTTATTCAGGCTCAACTTTATTTTTTAATAAAAGCTTTATTAAACCATTTTAAATTCTTCCTGATGACAACTGGTATTATAGCCAATGAGTCTTAATCTAAGTGGAGGTTTTATTTTTATGTTATCTGGGTTCATTTCTGTATAGCATTGGTTTAGCATCAAAAGACTTCTAGATTTCAATAGATAAAAACAAATTGCACTTTTACAAAATTGGAAATAAATATCATTAGTAGGTAGAGACTATCTAAGGTATTTACCTAACTTCTTGCATAGGAAACTTCACTTTTATGTTCTCTGCAGACTAAAAAAAGTGGCAAACCTGGGCCATTCTTGCTGTCTGGATCCAGAGACAAGACTATTAAGATGTGGGATGTCAGTACTGGCATGTGCCTTATGACCCTGGTAAGTTGCATAATCACAATCTCACTGTTGCTTTTGCATTCACTGTGGAATCAGATGCCTTGTAATGTCTTATTAAATCTGACTTATTCTGAACTTTACAATAACTTTATAAAGATGTTTTTCTTTGCACTTTCATCTTTTGTTATTATAGTGATGTGAAAGGTACTTCTGTGAACTCTCATGTCATAATAATGTGTAAAGCGGGGCCAATGGGTGACATAGTGGTTTAGGCATTGGGATTCCCACATGGATGGCTTTGATTTGAGTCCCAGACTTGGCAGCTTGAAAATCACACTGGGTGGGGCTGTCAGGTGGCATGGTGGTTAAAGGCGCTGAATCCCTACATGGCTGACCATGGTTCGAGTCCCAGACAAGTTAAATAAAATAATTCTTTAAAAAAAAAAAAAAATCACACTGGGCATGTGTACTTGTATGCCCAAAATCCCAGGAGATTGGAGAAAAAGGGATTGCTATGTGGCCATTTCCCTGGAGGGTGATTTCTCACTTTAAAACTCTCACTGTCTCTCTCTCTGTCTCTTTCTATCAAGCAAGTGCACACATCCTATGGCAAAAATCTTTTTTTAAAAAAAAAAAAAAGGGACTAGCAGTTGGCATAATGGCTATGTCGCTGGACTCCCTTGTAGTCCACCGTGGTTCGAGTCACAGACACGGTGGCTTAAAACTCATGCCAGGCATGTGTGCATGCATGCCCAAGATCCCAAGAAGAGAATGGAGGAGAAGGGATTGTGGCATGTCCATCCCCCCTGTGGGGTGATTTCTTGCTTTCTGTCTCTCTGTCTCTTTCTGTCTTTCTGGCACACGCATGCTCCCTATAGTAAAAATCTCTCAAAAAAAAATTTTTTTTTTTAAAGGTACAAAGTGGGACCACCAATTGGCGTGATGGCTAATGTCGCTGGACTCCCACGTAGTCGACCATGGTTCGCGTCCCAGACCCAGTGGCTTAAAACTCACACTGGGCACGTGTGTGTGCGTGCCAAAGATCCCGAGAGGAGAATGGAGGAAAAGGGATTGCGGCATAGCCATCCCCCCTGGGGGTGATTTCTTGCTTTCTGTCTCTCTCTGTCTGTTTGGCAAGTGCACGTGCCCTATAGTGAAAACCTCTCCTCCCCCCCCCCAAAAAAAAAAGGGTGCAAAGCTAGTCTTTGCTGAGTGGGGAGCCATCCTAACTCACTGTGTCTTTAAAAATATTATATTTTCTCCTGTAGAAGAGAAACAGCATTCTTATAGACTCTTTTGTTTTAAGGTTTAATTTTATTCATTCGTTTATTTTAATTTGACCAGAGAAAGACAGACACAGAGAGAGAAGAAAAGTAATAAAACAAGCCACCATGTCTAGGACTCGAACTGTGGTTGGCCATGTGGGAGTGTTTAGTGCCTTGACCACCATGCCACCTGCTGGCCAAAGACTCTTATTTTTAAAGAGTGTTGCGATGCTGAAGCTACTGGGTACTATACAACTAACTGCTTCAAGTCCCAGACCCAGTGGCTTGAAAATCACAGTGGCTTGTGTGTGCCCAGAATCCCCAGAGGAAAATGGAGAACTGACTGCAACATGACTATATCTCTATTGGGTGATTTCTCACTTTCTCTGTCTCCTCTCTCTCTGTCTCTGGAGAGCATACATGTCCTATAGCAAACCATATACATATATATATATTCTTTTTCACTGTATTTTTATTAATTTTTTAATGTTATGTTTTTGTTCACACAGTGTAATTTTCCATTCTGGAATTAGCAATTCTAGCTTTATGAATTAGAAATGCTTTTTTCATTTTGGGAGCATCTAGATTTTCGTATGAGGGAAGATAGAATGCTCTTAAGGGATTAAGGACATTCTTGTTTGCCTAAAAAGTTCCACAGGTGTCTGTGGATATTATCCCAGTAGCAGTTTTTATAATTTGGCATCACATTTGTTTAAAGGTTCTTTAGGTGCTTAGATGCCTTGAAATGACTATCTGCAGTGGGTAACAGACACATGTGGAAGCATCATCAGGATATGGTTAGAAAATTAAGCCCTCCTCTTAATATTGAATCGTCAGAAAATTATGATGTATTTTTCTATGTTTTTCTGTTCAAAATGTGTCATGATTTTTCCAACCACCTAATAGTATTTTTTTTTTAATTATTTACTTATTTTTAATTTGCATAGGGCATGTGTGCTCACCAGAGAGAAAGAGAGAAAATGAGAAAGCAAGCTACCAGGTCCAGACCGAGTTGGCTATGTGGTAGTCCAGCACCTCAAACACCATGCCACTTACCAGCCCTCTCTAATAGTGTTCTAAGCAGAGTTCAGTTATGCAGTGTTGCTGTTAGAAAAGATCATCTGTAGCTAAAGTGAGAAAGTGGCCTGGTTGGCACTTCTGCTCAACCAGCAGGCTGAGACCACGCAGGAGACCTGGGATTGATTCTAGCCCACCCTAAAGATTGGGCACTATAAATAGTCCCAGCTACTTAGAGGCTGAGATAGAAGAATTGAGACATGGCAAGACCTTGTCTTTATTGTCTTTTTTTTTTTATTTATTTGTTTTTTAGTTTTCTATAGGGCGTATGTACTTGCCAGAGAGAGATGAATATATAGAGAGAGAAAGGGCAAGAAATTACCCCTCCGGGAGTTATGGCCATACTATAGTCCCTTCTCTTCCATTCTCCTCTCTGGATTTTGGGCATGTATACACATGTGCCTGGTGTGCATTTCAAGCCTCAGGGTCTAGGACTTGAACCACTCAGTTGACTATGTGGAATTCATTTGCCTTAACTTCTGTGTCACCTGCTGGACCCAAGACCTTGTCATTTTTTTTGAGAGAGATTTTTGCTATAGGGCCGTGCACTCACCAGAAGAGACAGAAAGCAAGAAGTCACCCACCGGGGAAGGAGGCCATGCAGCAATCCCTTCTCTATTCTCCTCTCAGGATTTTGGGCATGCAGACACACCTGCCCAGTGTGAGTTTTTGTTTTTGTTTTTTGTTTTGTTTTGAGAGAGATTTTTGCTATAGGGCATGTGTGCTTGCCAGAGAAACAGAAAATGAGAAATCATCCCCTAGGAGGGATGGCCACTCCACAGTCCCTTCTTCTCCATTCTCCTCTAAGGATTTTGGATACACACACACACACACATACACATGCCCGGCATGTTTTAAGTCGCCATGTCTGGGACTCAAACTGTGGTTGACTACATGGTAGTCCAGCGATGTAACCATTATGCCATCTGCTGGTCTCCCGGCTTGAGTTTTTAAGTCGCTGAGTCCAAATTTGAACCATGGTCGACTGCATGGGAGTCCAGCAACATTACCATTACACCCATCAGCTGGTCCCCAAGACCCTGTCTTCTAAAAAAGAAGGTCCACTTTGCTATAGGGCACATGTTTGCAAGAAACAATAGGAAAAAAGATAAACAGGGAAAGCAAGAAAAGAAAAAACTTAGGATGGTAGCCATGATGCAATTCTTTATTTTTCCTCCTCTCAGAATTTTGGGCACTCACTCATAATCACCTAGCATGTTTTTTAAGTCCCTGAGTCCAGGACTTGAACCTCACCACTGGCCATGTGGGATTCAGCATGCTGACCTCCATGTCACCTGCAGGCACCCCATTAATGTTCTTTATAACTTTTTATTTTTTTTAATTCCCATAAAATCTTTTTTTTTGTGGCTTTGGTGTTTTAATGTATATAGTTTCAGTGTAATAACATCATTTTATGGATGCTCTTTAAACAAATTTTCTTTTTACTGAGTCAAATACTTTTTTGTTTTCAAGGTGGGTCATGATAACTGGGTACGTGGAGTTCTGTTCCATTCTGGGGGAAAGTTTATTTTGAGTTGTGCTGATGACAAGACCCTACGTGTATGGGATTACAAGAACAAGCGATGCATGAAGACCCTCAATGCGCATGAACACTTTGTTACCTCTTTGGGTATGTACGCATTATGAGGTTTCTGAACAATTAGATTTTGGAGTGCCAGACGTAAAGTTTTACATAACCACGTGGACTTTTCCAGGTAAGAAATGACTGTGTGTTTTTAGGGCAGAACAGAGAAGGCGGGTTAAAACTTTGGATTCCTATCATTTGTTTTAAATTCTCCTTTCCTTTTAGTCTCTTTCCATCATTAGCTTTATAACAAAAAAAAAAAAGTTACTTTTCTTCATTGCACATCATTCATTGGTTTTGGAAACTAGAATTGTGAAGAGGATACTTACTGCTCCATTGGGTAATTTTTTTCCCCTATTAATTTGTAAATTTTTCAAAGTAAATCTTTCTCAACCTTTCACTCTGCCAGGTATAGCTATGATGTACTAGGAACTCAGGGAATTGTGTTTAACATCCTTAGTATCATCTGGACTTAAATCTAGAATTTAAGATAGTGAATACAGTAAAATGTAAAACACTAGAATATGATGGCCCTAATGCTAATAGAAAGTCTTGGTAAAGTGGGCTAATACCTACCTCACAGAATTGTCTCAGGATTAATAAGCGTGAATATGTAAGTCTGGGACATAGTGTTTAGTAAATGGATATGCTGAGACTGTCCTTGTTAGATTTGAGCCACTTTGGAGCGGGACTCACAGAAATGGGCATTTTTGTTCTGCTGCTTTATAGGATTTCTTCATTGAGTCTTAGTTTCCCTAACCCAGTTGGTAAACTTGATAGCCTTTAAGGATATGGGTATGTATTTATAGGAAAATGTGGAATTCCTGGCACTTGGACTTGCTGTTTTGTGGCTCATTAAAAGTAGTATCTGACTCAGTCAGACTTTAAAATAAGCCTTTTCTTTTTCTTTCAGATTTCCACAAGACGGCACCCTATGTGGTTACTGGCAGTGTAGATCAAACAGTAAAGGTGTGGGAGTGCCGTTGATTGAGTCTCATTTGGCCCCTCCTCCCTGTTCCTCTGGATGCACTCTGATGATACCATGGTTACCCCATTGAGCTCTGTTTAAATAAATATTGTCCTTTCATGTAAATTATTCTGGATGTAGATTGAGCTTATTAAATGTTACACACAAAGTATTCATGCATGGTGAATCCAAATTGTATACTGTAAATTTACATACGTTGTCTAGAAGTACCATAGGGTTTTAAAACCTGGGCTGGCATTGGTCACACCAGGCCGAAGAAGGCAGAAGTTAAATAAATTGAACTAGGGCACTAAACTGAATAGTTGACAGTGTCATTTTATGTTGGATTATTAATTTCTGTTTTTCTTTCTGCTATCTGTTGGTGCCTGACTTGATGGCCTCATTTGGGGGAAAGTGGTGGTTATTAGGGCTTTTTCTGAAATGTGTATCTATGTAACATCACTTAAGTGTGCTTAATACATCTTCTTTAAGGATGTTAGATAATAAGGCTACAAATCAAAATCTTCTGAACCATCTATGTAATTAATGGGGGTTACATATTGAAATTTTTGTCATGACACATTTGCCAAATCAATACGATACATTCATTTTGGCAGCCTATTAAGGAAAGGCTAGTGGTATATTTATGTAAAGAAAATGACTGTAAATCGCAAACAAGAAACATCTCAGCGGTTAAAAGCAAATCATTTATTTCACGTGGTCTTGATGCTTTGTAAACAGGTTTAAAAAAAAAAAAAAAACACTGTCATACTCTAAGCTTCTATTTTCCACACTAGACATACTTCTAGTTGTATTCTCCATACTATTAGACTGTATAGTGATGTGACTTCCAAGTAGAATTTAATCTTCCCATTGAGTGTGTCATGGTACAAATCACTATTTGTTTTGATGTTTTTTAGGGATGTGCAATGTGCATTACATAATGACAGAGAAATACTGAAAAGGTTATCTATGCCCATTTTAAAAGAGTGGGATAATAACAGCAGTTTGTTTTTCAACATGAATCTGATACTGATTTGAAGTGCGTTTCACTTACAAGTTTTAAAAATGACAGGGTTTTATGGAGCGTGCATAAAAATGTCCTGTGTTTTCAGCTTTTGTTTATATATAATTGTCTGTAAGTATATGGGCCTATCTATAAGTGGATAAGTCTGTATAAATATATCTCACACATACAACCTCCATGTCCTTGGGTCCTGGGTTTTTGAAGACGTGCTAAAATGTACAAGTAGAATAAATCTTGCTGTGGAATACCATGCTTTAGAACAAACCCTTTTTGATCCTGATACTTCTGAAAACTAGGTCTGACTCTGGGGATTTTTCTCAACTAAAGGAAAATCACTTCCGTTATAGCCCCTCTAATTTGGCCGTTCAGCATTTTACACATCCCTGATACGTTGTATATTTTGTTCCAGAGTTACTGCAAGTAGGTTTAAGAGAATTTTTATCCATGATTTTCGGAACACTGTTTCTTGTTGATTATTAATAAAAACAAAAATTCCATTGCTTATCTAACCAACAGGTTTTTTTTGTTTTAAAGCTAACAGAACAATGAAATAACAATGACAGTTTAGCACAGATAAATTTATTCTGAATTGCCTTTTATTCATTTGTGTAATATGTGATTTTTAAAAAATGTCCCTTTTAGTATTTAATGGAAATTTGGTTCTTGAAAAAGACAAAGGGTGAGAGTTAACGTCCTGTAGATACACATGCAGGGAATAGGCCATGTATTAACTAGAAGCAGCTTTATGTCTAGCTTATGTCTCTTTTTTTGTTTGCTTGTTTGTTTTTAATAATTCCTGAGAGATATCTCTGGGAAGGAAAGTGTTTTGAGAACTAATGGCTATTTTTGAGGACAAAAATTGCATTTTAAGCTAATTTCTTAAACACAGAAGATTAACTTTCAGGACAGTATCACCTCATGACCCTGCTTACATTGAGAAGTTTTGTTTGTTTGTTTGTTTGGTTTTTTTCCCACTTAGCTGTTCTGACTGGATTTTTCTACAGAAGCTATGGAAAATATCTTTGTTCTCATTTGCTGCTATTTCCTGTCCTGTTTTGAGAAATATAAATACATAGAAATGGTGCATCTTAACATTTGTTTGTACATGTATGAATGTCTTGTATTTTAATTCATTTTTAGCATGTAGCAACACAAATTGAGGGTAAGCCACAACATCTAAAAATCACTCATAGACATGAACAATAAAGGAAAAAATGGTACCGATGTAGTGGGAAGCAGAGCAGCTATCTGCTGGGTCTCTTCCCCTGCGGCACACAGTGACTTTCTTGACAAAGGAGGAGAAGCGATTACTCTGTAAACAAAGTTATCCTTACTTGGGAGATTGCCACAGCCTGCTGCTTAGTTGAGTTACCAGACATCTTCCATTTAAGAAGCAGCGAACATTGAATCTCAGGGATGGTCCACAACTGGATCCAAATGTAACGAGCCCTGTTGGAATAATGAAGGGGGGTGGGGGAGAGCGATCCATCTACAATCTGGAATCATATTTTCAAAGGTTTCCTGCACTGTTGCTTGACACTGCCCTGTTGATGCCCTTTCTTACTCTGTGTTCTCTGTTTTCTCTGTCTGCTGTCTAACCCTGTGCCTTGCCTGGGATAAGGACAATGATGAGGTTACTGGTTTGGATTGTAAGTAGAGGACTTTATTAATTGGTTTAGAGGTTCACTGCTGCTTTGTCACTTAATCAGATTGGCCACTTATTTAAGAAATAAAAAGCTGGTAGAATTGCATCCTCAGATGATGGTTGACTTTTTGTGTGTGTGATAACAGACATTCCAGTGCCACCCTGACATAATGTGCCCAAGAAATCCTAGCCGCACTCTTGAGAGTACAAGCCACGGAAACTGGCTAAGACTTCGCTTGGAGAATAGTTGCTTTTCGACATGGCATCTTGCACTTTAGGAGACTAAGACCGTCCTGTTTTGTCATGTGTGGTGTGACCAATGGTGTGCCCAGAGCACTACTCTAACAGTCCCTAGTGTTAGCGAGGCGTCCCGGCCGGGGAGCGCTCACTGTAGTCTTTTGGAAGCTTCGACTCTAGACTCACCAAGCCCAGTCTCCTTGCTGTCAGTACCCTGCTCTCCTGTTTGCCTCTTTCTGTTTCTATGTAAACTTCCAGGTAATATCACTCATTGAATAGTTTTTTTTTTAATTTATTTAAAGAAAAACTATTTAAAGGATATTTTGTTTGTTGACAGTGGTGGCTTGATAATCCTTAAGCAGCTGAAATTAACATTGTTAAAGGAAAAGGCACTTAAAGTGGTTATTCTTTCTGTCCAGCTGTATATAAATAAGTCCAATGTGTTCATCTAGATAATGCAAAGAAGAATCTCCTGGTAGAGAATGGACATGTACAAAATTGGTGGAAAAAGGTTTTTGTTTTTTTTTCCCCAGTGGGGTGTGGGGAGGGCAAGCTGGATTTACAAGTCACGACTGGACTGAACTGGCCTTTTTATCTTTCCACTCTATCATGTAAGTAGCTGCTTTCTTGTCCAGGCACCCCTAAAGCTCACTCGGAAGATGTTAGAAACACAAATCTTGGAGTTAGAAGTTGATCCTGACACTGACAAGAAGGCAAGCATTGATTTCATACGAACGTTGCAGAGGTGGTCATTGGAGAAAAACAGTTCCCCAGATTGTAAGAGTTCACTGAAGATATTGACACAATTTTAAAAAAATCAGTAAAGGAATGTATATAATATTGCTCTTGTGTTTTACAGTAAGATTTGTTGCTCTCAGACTGTGTAAAACAAAATTTATTCATGTTTTCTGCATATTAAAAAATCTTATTGTACCAATTGGTAAACTATTAAATGCCTATAAAACTAGATGTGATTTTTTTTTTAACTTTTTTTTTTTTTAACTTTTTTTTTTTTAACTTGCACAGATCAAGTCCTAAAAGAAAGTAGGCTGTGTACCAGTCATAAAGCAGGGCACAAATTGGCTGCAGGTGGCCGGGCCTTGAGGGAAGGCTTTTCTTTAGGGTAGCGCCAGCACTGGCCCAGCGGCCTCCTCCCAATCTGGAGGAAGGGGCCTGCAGTCAGGCTTGTGCAGAGCAGGCTGGGTTGGGCAGTGATCACCCCACCTCCCCTCTGCTCCTGTTCTAAGAATGACTCAGCTGAGGCCAGAGAGCTGAAGCCAGGGTTGGCCCATTTCAGACCCTTTGCTTTTTGGTCTTTTGTGCACAGATCAAGTCCTAAAAGAAAGTAGGCTGTGTACCAGTCATAAAGCAGGGCACAAATTGGCTGCAGGTGGCCGGGCCTTGAGGGAAGGCTTTTCTTTAGGGTAGCGCCAGCACTGGCCCAGCGGCCTCCTCCCAATCTGGAGGAAGGGGCCTGCAGTCAGGCTTGTGCAGAGCAGGCTGGGTTGGGCAGTGATCACCCCACCTCCCCTCTGCTCCTGTTCTAAGAATGACTCAGCTGAGGCCAGAGAGCTGAAGCCAGGGTTGGCCCATTTCAGACCCTTTGCAAAGACCTGACCCAGTGGTCAGAACCCAGCGATAAGGCCTCTTCATTCTATTTATGAGCCTGATCCTGCCTAGTGGTCTTGGGTTCATGAAAGTTTTACTACCGTTTCCATTTTTAGTTGGGATGTACCAAAATAAGTGTTTGTCCTTGCCCCAGAAGTCCCATGACTTTCTCTCAGCTTTGCCCACTTTGGCTATGTCCTGCCTCTGAGGACCAAGATCAGGGCTCAGCCTCTGTCCTTAGAGTCTTCGGGGCACCAGTGAAATTTCTAGCTTTTTGTGAACAAAGGACAGAGGTCAGTGTGGTGGCTTTTGCAGCCCAGCTGTTTTCCTGCCTCCTGTTGAGAATAGCTTCCCCGCAAATGTAAAATTGGACACAGACCAACAGTCACTTGCCTTCAAGTTAGAGCCGTGTTTGCAGCTCCTCCATTTCGAGGCAGCAGCCCAGGTAACGCGCGTGACCATTTTTCAGTGTAGGGCTGCTGTCTGGAAGTGCTTGTTAACTCTTAAAAGTTGTGTGGCTCTTTATGTGTATACACACCACATCAAGCCTCCCAAGACTCATGGCTGTGTCCTTTGACAGAAGGTGAAGGACGGGAAAACGGAAGATGGGAGAAAACACTTGCAGCTCTCCCCTGCTTACTCCTTGATGAGACCAGATGAGGACTGGCAAGTCTCAACTGCTGGCATCACCCAAGGGCTTGTTAGAGATACAAATTGCAGGGTTGGCTCTGCACCCTGGTGGGTAAGGCAGCCGGATCCCATGTGGCCGATTACATGGTTTGAATCCTAATCCCATGTGGCCGATTACATTTGAATCCTGAACCTGGCGGCTTGAGAAACTCCTGGTGTATGCGCGTGCGTGCGTGCCCAAAAATCTTGAAAAGAGAAAGAGGAGGATTGCAGATGGTGGTGTGACCCTTGCCCTTTGAGGGAGAGGGTGCTTTCTCTACCTCTGTCACTTTCTGGCCAGTGCACGCACCATCTAGCAAAACAAAACAAAAAAGCCCCCACCTTAAATCTACTGAATCAAAAATAGAGCCCAGTTTAATCCAGTTAACAAGCCCTCTGGGAGATTCTGATGAGGTTCAGGTTTGAAAAACACTGATAGAAATATTTGCACATTCTCACCAAGGAAATTTGGGGGAAAGTCACTGGTCCCTGTGCCCCACAACTGGGTTTTGAACTTACCACCTTCCTACCTTTCCCCCTCACTTGACACGTGTAATTTCTTCATATGGTCATCCCAGCTGGTCACCTAGCCCTCTTCATTGAAGTGGAGGGACGGGAAATACCTGGCATTTTGAGTACCTGTTAGGTACTAACACTTGAAACGCCCTTATTCCCACACAGTGCCCCCTGCTGGTAGCTATTCATGAATTGATGGACAGGAAAACCAATGCTCATATGAGGTGGGTGGGTGTCGTGTGGAAGGCAGTACAGCTGCTTAGTGGCTGAGCCGGGACTTCAGATGCACTTGCTCTTCCCCTATCTTGGTTCTGGCATGCATTTTACTAGCTATTGTTAAGGAAGGCATTTGGACATATTTAAACTTTTAACTTTTTTTTTTTAAGTGATTTTTGCTATAGGGTGCGGGTGTTCAGAGAGACAGAAAATGAGAAATCACCCGCCAGGGAGATGGCCATGCTGCAGTCCTTTCTCCATTTTCCTATTGGGATTTTGGGCAGGCACACACACATGCCTGGCGTGAGGTTTGAGCCACAGGATCTGGGACTCGAACCATGGTTGACTACGTGGGAGTCCAGCAACATAACTGCTACTCCATCTGCTGGTCCCTAAACTTTTAACTTTTTTATTAATTATTTATTTATCATTTTTTTTTCAATGTGACCAGAGAGAGAAAAGCCTCCAGGTCTGGGACCCGAACTGCAGTCAGTCATGTGGGAGTCCAGCACCTTAACTACCATGCCATTTGCAATTGCTCAAATTCAAACTTGCTCATCTTAGGCTCCTTGGGGGACCAGCAGATGATGTAATGGTTATGTCGCTGGACTCCCATGTAGTTGACTGTGATCCAGTCCCAGACCTGCGGCTAGAAACTCATGCTGGGCGCAGTCATCTCCCCCGGGGGGGTGATTTCTCACTTTCTGTCTCTAGGTGTCTTCAGCAAGTGCACACGTACCATAGCAAAAATCTTTCTCAAAAAAGAACAAAGGGGGACCGGCAGCGTAATGGCTATGTCGCTGGACTCCCATGTAGTCGACTATGGTTTGCGTCCCAGACCCGGTGGCTTAAACTCACGCTGGGCGCATGTGCGTGCGCGTGCATGCGTGCCCAAGAGCCCGAAAATAGAATGGAGGAGAAGGGATTGCAGCGTGGCCATCCCCCCGCCCCGGGGAGGGGGGGTGATTTCTCGCTTTCTGTCTCTTGTCTCTATGTGGCAAGCGCATATGCCCTATAGCAAAAACCTGGGGGGTGGGGGTACAAAGGCTCTTCAGGGCCAGCAGGTGGCTTGGTTACAGCACTGAACTCCCACATAGCCAAGTACAGTTTGGGTCCTGGACCTGGCAACTTGAAAATCATGCTGGGTGTGTGTGCGTGCGTGCCTAAAATCCGAGGTGAATTGAGAAGGGATTGCAGCTTGGCCATCCCCCCCGAGGGTGATTTCTCACTTTACCACTCACTGTGTGCATGCCCTATGGCAAAATCTTTTTAAAAAAAAATCCTCAGGGACCAGCAGATGGCATAATGGTTGTCACTGGACCCGCACATAGTTAACTACAGTTCGAGTCTCATACCTGGCAGCTTCAAACACACTGAATGCCATGTGTGTGCGTGCCCAAGATACCAAGAAGAGAATGGAAAAGGGATTGTGGTGTGACCATTCCCCCGTAAGGTAATTTCTCACTGTCTCACACACGCCCTATAGAAAAAGATCTCTTTAAAAAAAACAAAAACGTCTCCTCAATCTTTCTGTGAAGTGATTCTTCTTAGGGTAATTGTGGCCTGAATGGTTTGCAGCTGTGTCTAATTTGGGGGGAAAAAAGAATTATTCCCATTAATGGGATGTTTTGCTTTCCGCTGAGGTTTGCCACCTGTCCTGTCTTCCTGATTTGATTGGTAGTTTAGACTCTGGAGAGAGAAGTGAAGAAATATTCCAGCCGCAACAGGATTCCTTATTCTCAGTTGCAGGATACACAGGAATTAACCAGTTCAGTCTTAGTTCTCGTCAGTCACGCATCACTTAAAGGTGGGGGTACATCCCCATTCTGAGAGATGCATCATTAGGTGGTTTTGTCCTGTGAACATCAGAGGTATCTCCACACACCTGCGTGGTGTAGCCTTCTACACACCGTTGTATGTGTGTTCTGTTCACCAAAACATGTGGTGTGTGGCTACATTTAGCCAGGGTGATTTGAAGGCCAGGGAGTGGACAAAGATGACACATCCATAAAGGTTTGATTTGGTTATAGCCATTCTTTTATAGTAAAGGTAGTCTGCTTAAAGAAATCCATACATAAAAGTGGAAGAATGTGAAAGACCAGGACGGGTGTAGATGTGTTGATGGCCCACACAGTGCGACTCAGTTTTCCATCTGGAATACCCATCCAGAGAGACATGTGCCCTCCAGCAAAATTAAAAACACAAGAGGGGCCAGCAGGTGGTGTGGGCATTAAGGCAGCCCATCCCACATGGCCGTGTGGTTCAAGTCCCGGACCTAGCTGCTTGATGAAAACACTAGGCGTGTGTGTGTGTGTGTGCGCGTGCCCAATATCCCAAGAGAATGGTGAAGGGATTGTGAAATCCACCCCGGGGAGGTGATTTCTCAGCCCTGGACACACGCATGCTCGCTATAGCACACATTCATCTAGCAAAGGGAAAAAAAAAATGTCCCTTGTCATTTGGGTGGTCAAAAGGTGTCTTCCTGCACTAATATGCTTAGAGAGGTCAGCAAATCGGGCCTCAGGTGACCACCAGACACAACGGTAATTAGATCCAGCCCATTCTCAGCTCCACATGCTGCCCCGTCGTTCCAAGTCCTGTGGAACACGTGACTCGTGTTCATTGGCTAAAGGCCAGAAGCAAGCGTGTTTACCACGGGGCTGAGGCTGTAAAGGAAACTGCTTGTCAGGGTGTTGTGGGGCTTAAACAGTCAACACATTGACGGCTATCGTGTCACTTAGAAGAAAATCTCAAGGTCAGGGACATCTTTTTTCTGGTTTGCTCAGGAAAACTAACAGGGTGGGTATTTTTATTTATTTATTTATTTTTTTTTTTTATTGCTGAATTCCCAAGGCACAGAGGATGCTAAAAGGAGAAAGAAAAGGAAAGCACCCCGCCCCCCCTATCACTCCAACGCACACACAGAGCCTGGTCATGCTGCAAACCTTTTTTCTCCAGTTCTCCATTTCATTCAGGATCATGAGGCATGTGCATGCATATGCCCAGCATTTTTTTCAAGGTGCTGGGGCTGGGACTTGGAACTCAAATCCTGGCTGGCCACATGAGATCTGGCTTCCTTTGCACAGCACTTAACACTGCACTAGAGGGTTAGCCCAGCATCCAGAATTTTGTGGCAATTGCCCCTTTCTCAATCTGTTTTTAATGATTCATGTGTTGAGAAAAATTAAAATCACTTTATAATCATTGTAGAAGGGTTTTAGAAGGAAGAGTAAGAAAATCTGGGTGTTTCGCAGTGTGTGTGTATGTGTACATGCCCAAGAGCTTAACTAGCTGAAGAGTTGGGGAAAGGGCACAGTGGAGTGATGAGACCCTGTTGAGGGTGCTTCTTTCTTGCTTTTGTGTGAGCACAAGTCATATCGTGAATAAAATAAACTTCGAAAAGGAAGTGTGGGTGTCTGATTCACTATTTTTACAGAGAAACTGCCCCTTCTCCTTTTAGATTGGAGTCAGAAGTTATGTGGACAGTTCCTTCCTTCTCTGGTTTCCATGCTCACTCATTGCAGTTGTCTGGATGTAAAGGACCTTGAAAATAGGTCCTGAGTTAGCCATGCAGTAGCTCATTTATTTATTTATTTTTTTTTTTTATTGCTGAATTCCCAAGGCACAGAGGATGCTCCAAGTATTCAAAAAAGGTATCTGAGTACCTGTGAGGTTGGGGCCTGCCTGCCTCTGTTGGGTGACAGCTGTAAGGAGATTCAGACTTCCCTTTCTTAGGCCCCTGCCCCAGACTCTGCTCCCTGTGTGCTCCCCTCCCCCACTGGGAAGCCCTTCCTGAGGCCTGCCCTGGGATGACAAACCTCAGCCACTCCAGACCTAGCAGAGCCTCCTGGGGAGTGCAGCCCAGCCCCCTGACCTCAAGTGAGGGTAAGGGAAGGGCCCAGCCAGTTCGGTGGGCACCTAACATCCAGGATGCCCAGGGCCTGGGCCCCAGACCTATACCACCCCCTCCAGCCTGGCCTTCATCCACAAAAAAACTAATGACAGCTGACTTTTATCTGTGTGACACCAGTCATGGCGGGGGGACTGCCTGCGACTCCACCCACTAAATGACGTCATTAGCATAACCTTGTACATTTTCATCTCCCAGTAACATTTTTAAAAAATTTGCTAAGGGTGTGTGCACTCGCTAGAGACAGAAGAGAAAGCACCCTCGTGGGGCATGGTCACCCCACAGTCCCTTCATCTCTCCCTCCTCTCAGGATCACACGTGCCTGGAGTGTTTTTTTTTTCTTTTAAAGAAGTATTTAATTTTATTGTCATTATTCTTGTTTTATTTTGAGGTTGACCAGAGAAAGACAGAGACAAGGAAAATGAGGAAGCAAGCTGCCAGGTCCAGGACTCAAATTGCAGGCAGAAAAAAAAAACTGCAGCCAGCCATGTGGGAGTCCAGCCTCGACCACCGTACCACCTGCTGCCCACCCACCCACCTGGAATGTTTTTCAAGACACCAAGTCCACACAATTGGCCACATGGTGTCCAGCCACCTTAACCACACCATCTGGCTGAAACGATTTCTTAAGTTTTATTTTTATTCCTTCCATGAGGGAAACAGTAAAAGAGGCCTCCTCAACAGGGTCTTCAAGCCAAGACCCAACCCCTTGCCGCAGCCAGCCAGGATCACAAGTGTGTGCACACCAGCAAACACGGGAAGACCTTAGGACACAACCCAGGGCCCTCCCACGTGGACTTAGCATCACGTGGCTATCACCACCGTGGCCCTCTCCCAGTAACATCTGGAGACAGCCCTCAATCAAGGCCGCTTTATAGAACAGACAGGTGAGGCTGGGGCAGCAGGTTTCAAAAACTCACTTTATTCCAATGTGAAATGAAGACGTGATGGTTTAAAAACAAGAAAAGTTCTTGATCAGCTGTGGGGATGCTTCGCTTGCTAGCTCATGCCCACTCCCTTTGAAACAAGGTGTTTGGACAGACCATACCCATAAGCAGCTCTCCTCAAAGCCTCAGGCAGAGGCCGGCCGGAACAGCACCCCCAGGCTCACAGCATGGCCGCCTCCTCCCACAGCAGGCACAGAGACATGGCCCAGGCAGGCGGAGAGAGCAAGCGCCGGCCCAAGGACCCCCAGCCACCCCAGAGCTCCTCGCAGGTGCTTGTGTGGCCAGAACAGGCAGGGAGCTGGCCTCCACAGAGGTACAATCACTCCTGTTTCCACTGACCTCCCCAGGATCCATGATTCGGCCCTGGGTTCCCCCGGCCCACCCACCCCCACTGTGCGTCAGGCAGCATGGGTTACATTCAGACTGTAGCCCCCCAGGTTCTCCCCACCTGGGAGAGTAGGGAGTAGGGAGACGAGCCAGAGTCTGTGGCACCGCCTCCTGCAGGGCCCAAGGACAGGCAGGCCGGGGCTGGGCACTCAGGTGTTGGGACCACCGTGGCCCACTGCCGACCCCTTCCCCGACCCCGGAGCTACAGCCAGGCCGGGCTCAACCACAAGAGTAAAGCCGCTGCAGCTCTCTTCTTGCCACAGAACTAAAGTGCACCCCAACCCTCCAACCCTGCCACAGAGCTCTGGCTCCCCATCCCAGGACACAGGAAAGCCCCCCGTCATTTTTTTGGCTTAAAACCTGGACTTTAAGTCAGGTTGGGCCCCGGGGGTAGTGGCAGCAAAAGCAGCAGCCGTAATGTCATACATACAAATGACCTGAGATCGCATCTGCACATCATCCACTCAGAGCCGACTGGGGCTATGTACAGCAAGGACGGATCAGGACGCTCACGGCATGGACACACTCGCACACACCTGCTTGAGGGTGGGGGGCCTGCAGGGCACCTGCCCCCAAGCCTGGAACTGGTGCCCACACATTCCATTCACGTGTCTTCGGTTAGGCCTCTGCATCACATATTCATTGAACCAGTGCAAAAACATCTTTTAGGGCAGGCAGGCCAGGCCGGGGTCCCAGGAAGACGCTGGGGTGGGGTGGGGTTGGAACACAGAACAGGGACTGGCTTCCTCTCCTGATCTGCAGGGCACGCCCCCTTCTCGCGGAGTCTGGATCACTGGGTCACGGGGCCGCTGACTGTCCGTCTGTCTCTCCTTGTCTATCCCTGCAGGCTCGGGGAAGAAGGGTCCTTGGCGGCTTGGGGCTGGGAACCCGTGTCCTCGGGGGCCCCCACTGGCTCAGGCTCAGTGGCCATGGGCTCCTCAGCCTTCTCCCTGTTTCTGCTGGCCTCCTGGAGCTGGTGCCTCCGCGCCACCTCGGCTTTCAGGTTCTCCAAGTCTTTTTGGCTGAGCAGGAAGATGAGGGTGAAGGTGGGTGTCAGAATGGGCCTGGGCCCTCCACCACCTCCCACCTTTGTTTAGTCTTCATTTGGGACAAGACCAGGCTCTGTACTCTATTCCGGAAGACACACATGGGGAATATGCAGAAAGGTCAAAGAACACACGCATGACACAGCCGTGGCTGAGGCCTGGCTCCCGCTCACCCACTCACCCAGGCAGACCAGTGCCTCCCACGGCTTCTCCTATAGCTGATTACATGAGAATACAGGTGTGTGTGTGTGGGGGGGGCGTTAGCCTCTGGCTGAGGGAAAGTGAGGGGCTCCCAAAGGCTGTGTGATTTGCAGGGGCCACACTGGGATCCCCAGGGTCTGTAAGGCTTGTCCCTACACTGGGACAGGAGGCAGAGAGATGAGAAAGTCACTTTTGTACTGATGGGAAAGATTGCCAAGACAGATTACACCAAATAAAAAAAAGGTTTTTGGGGGACCAGCAGGTGGCACCGTGGTTAAGGTGCTAAACACTCCCACATGGCTAACCATGGTTCAAGTCCAGGACCTGGTGGCTTGCTTTCTCACTTCCCCTCTTCCTCTCTCTCTGTCTGTCAAATTAAAAATAAATAAAGGAATGAAATTTAATAAATAATTTTTTAATAAAAGGTTTTTGGTGTATGGTATGTACAAATTTCTGTTTTAAAAAAAAGTGGGGGGTGAGTACAGCTGCATATTTGCTCAATTACACATGGAGTATTTCTCTAAGGATGTACAGGAACTTCTCATCACTGACTACCCTTTCCAATTTTTAGTCAGAGATTACCTGTTCCACATTTTTCTTTTTTTATACATAATTATTTATTTAACATTATTATTTTAATTTTTTAAAGAATTATTTAATTTTATTCATTTATTCATCTACTTTAATTTGACCAGAGAGAGAGGGGGAAAGCGAGAAAGCAAGCCACCAGGTCCAAGACTCAAACCGTGGTTGGCCATGTGGGAGTATCCAGTGTCTTAACCACCACGCCATCTGCTGGTCCCCCATTATAATTTTAATTTGATCAGACACAGATACATACAGAGAGAGGAAGAGAGAGAAAGTAAGAAAGCCAGTCACCGGGTCCAGGACTCAAACCACATGGTCCAGGCCATGAGCGAGTCCAACACCTCAACCACCACACTGCCTGCTGGCCCTGATATTTTTCTTTTTTCAAAAAAATTTTGCTAGAGGGGCTGGCAGGTGGCATGATGGTTGGGGCGCCGACCATATGGCTGACCACAGTTCAAGTCCTAGACCTGACCTAGCAGCTTACTTTCTCACTTTTCCTCTCTCTCTCTGTATCTCTCTAGTCAAATTAAAATAATGATAATTCATCATTATGAATAAAATTAAATAATTTTTTAAAAATAAACTTTGCTAGAGGTTGTATGTACTTGCTGGAAAGAGAGCAAGGGAAAGTGAGAAATCACCCCCCAAGAGGGAATGGTCATGCCACAATCCCTTCTCTGTTTTCCTCTTGGGATGTTGGGCACATAAGCACATGTGCCCAGAGTGTGAGTCGACCACCATGCCATGCCACTGGCTGGGCTCTTTCTTTTTTTTTTTTTTTTTTTGAGTTTTTTTTTGTGGGGGGGGC